GTCCTCATCAGCTGTTCCTGTCTAGTGAAGCCCAAGTCCTTGGCCCCATGAGGATGAGAGATGAGCGAGTTGTGATGCTTGTCCTCCTGGCATTGTGTCATCAGCGGAGGGAGCTATGCTTAAATCAAGCACAAAGGAAGGAAGATAGGAGTAAAAGTTTGTAGGAAGAAGGGAAGCCAGAGCTGAGTGAGGAGGGAACTGGTCTAGGGGCAGAGGAGGGCTCTCTAGGGGCAGAATCAGCATGTACAAAGGCATTGGACGTGAACCTAGACCATGATTTCAGTTGGCCTGAGTCCAGGTTCTTCACTTCAGAGTTTGTAGAAGAGTCAAAAATTTGTGTTTTCTGCTTCCTGTTTGTAATAGGACATGTGTCCTTAGGCCCTTCTGGGCACAGCAATGTCCTCCTATGTGATGGAGAGCCTACAAGTGAGCAGAAAGGGCTTTGATCTCCATCAGCATGGTGCAGAATTCCAAATCCTGCTGGCAGTGTCTTTGTGTACATCTTACCAGACTGAAGACTGTGGTCCTCTGTATGAGAGTGACAGACTCTGCTTATCCCCAGATCAAACTGTCTTTCTGCCATTACTGATATAGCCAACAGTCCAGGGAATGGATGATGAGGCTGCCCAGATGCCCTGTTTCACTGGAAGTCAAGAAAGAGATAGTGGCTGTTGTAGTTTTAACTTGTAAATATTTTTGACCTTTAAACATGCCAATTTCCAGCTCTAATCAACTGGAAGAAGAAGGCTCCCTTAAGCAGGGTTGGTTTGAAAAAGCACTATTTTTAGCAAAGAAAACAAAAATAGAGTTCTTTCAAAAGTATTATAATTCAGCTATATTTGTTAATCTCTGAGAGTTAGCCATTTTGCTAGGTACAGGGATTTAAAAGAGAGAGAGAGAGAGAGAGAGAGAGAGAGAGAGAGAGAGAGAGAGGAGTAAGATTTGGTTCTGCCATAGGAGGATTCTATAGTGAAGACCCGGATGTAGTTGTTGCAGATCATGACAAAGGCTGTACCAGGAAGATTCAAAAAGTAAACAGTAACACAGAAAAAGAATAGTTAATTCACTCCTGGGGAGTGGAAAAAGAGGATGTCACTTTTAAATTATGCTGAGGATACAGAGAAAATTAATTATTTTAAAAGTCAAGCCATATGAAATTGTCAACATACAGTCCTGTTTGACCTAAAAGGTTAGTCTCATGTGGTTTAACCTAACACTAAGACAGGATTCACAGGAAGGTTTAATCCCTCTGTAAACTCTAGTCACAGTGGTAATAATTGTCCATTAGCTATACTGAGAACGATTCCGAGGCTCCTGGGCCAATAGGAATGGGTAATATTAACAAGGATTGATGATATTTGCCTTGGCTAGAGAATGGGAAAATGATGGTATTATTTTTATCTGTTTTCTCACTTCATTTGTAAGAAGTTTAATAAGCAAATGCTCGAGTGTCCAAGAAGTTCAGAGTATTACCATAGTTGTAGATGTGGGTTCATGCTAATTTGAGATAGATGGCATCTGTTGGAGGCTGAAGCAGATAGAAGTTAGTTCGGGGGGTTTATTGAAAGGCTACATGTGTGCTGTGCTGGGATGTGCTTTGAATGACCTTATGAACACTTGTTTGTACCACTGCCTGTGCCCTATTGACTACCGGGCTTACTTTTGTAAACACATACACACTATCGTCCTTGCCCCCCGACTACGTGGACGTTTGATGTTCTTCTCTACAGCTCTATTTTTGCTGAATCCAAAGGTCACAAGGTACTAAAGGAACATACAATAAGTACTTTGCAAATTAAATTGGTGCATGTCTTTAGGTAGAATAGACACCAAGTCGTATAACTACATAGATTTTGTTTTACAAAGGTCAAAGTCTTTGCATAAAGATCTTTTTCTAAACTACTAAGAGAGCATTCAGAGAAGTTATTTTAGTCCCATTTCTCAGGCTCTGCAGCGTAAGAGGAATTAGGAAGGCTTCATTATGCCTAGCCAGGGTTTAGCTTTCTATATGGCATCTGTGTTGTGTCCCAGCAGACTTCAATAAATTGCATTGAGGATATTGAAAATTGACCTGAGGGTTTTAACTGCATAATACTGAAATGGCCTTCTGTTTTTTTTTTTTTTAATAATTAGATGATTTTTTTTCTCTTAAAATTAAGGCACTCAAAGAAAATTCAAATAGCATTTTAAAAGGTTTATTTTTTATTTTTATTTTTTTAACCAAGGGTGCACAAGAGACAAAAACTTCTGAGGAAGTTTCTTTGTCTGAATTCACCCATCAGAGTCCTGCCTTAGATAGTTATGACTTGGTAGCTTTCTATGTCTTCTATAGAAACAAAAATTTCTAAAATATTTATCAATAAGAAAATCATATGCATGGCTTCTGCAGAGTCATCTTGAACCTATATTGATAATGAGCATTTTTAAAAGAGTATTTTTTACAGTTTATTCCATGTTTTCCTCGTGAGCAATTTACTTTTCACTGGTTGATTTTAGACCCCAACTCTCATCTCAGGATTGGCTTGTTTGATCTTAGTGCCCATGACTATGCTGATTACCTGCTAACAATGTGCTGGGGAGAAATTAGAATAGATGAAGACTTACTCTATGATAAATTGTTTAAAAATGAAGTAGAAAGAATATAAGTTTAGCAAAGGTTGATCAAAACTTTTAAATTCTTTATATACATACTACCAAGAAGTGATCAGGTAGTAAGTCTGGTGGGTCATACCTACAGTCTCAGATACTTTGGAGAATGAATCAGCAGGGTCGAAAGTTTGAGTCTTGCCTGGGCAATTTGGCTAGAGCTGGTTTCAAAGTGAAAGGGGCTGGGAATGTAGCTCAGAGGTAGCACACTCCTGTACACCCCCAGGATAATCAATTAACTGTACCTGTATGTCCTGGACTAAGTTAGGAGACAGGCTTATGGGGAGAGGGAGTGAAGGTGGCTCTTCTCTAGCTTTAAGATTAGGATAGGTAAGCAAAGGTGAGAAGGACATTCATGTAGAAATTCTGCCACAGGGAGACTTTATGTTGTGAAAAACCGGTTAGATCTCCTGTTAGAAGAAAAGATGAGATGAGTGTGGAATGTCAAGAAAATGTTTCTTTCACCTGTAAATAATATCCAAATTTAGAGCAGTACAAGAAGGAGGAATAGAAAAGGATTTGGAGGAAAGTTTCTCCTATTCCCCTTCTTTTTAACATTTTCTTATACTTTTAAAGGATATAATGATTATATTCTATGCTTTTGTTGCTGTTGTTGTTGGTTTGGTACTGGGAATGGAACTCACGACCTTGAGCTTGCCAGGGAGGCACTTTGCCATTTAGCTATATCCTGGTTCACTGATTTTATTCACTGGGGGGAACTGGTATGTGCACTTACAATTCTGCCCCCTCTTTTACCTGTGTCCCCTCTACGATATTGGAATATTTGTGGTCAGCTTCAGTGCAGGTCAGAGAGAAGAGTGGAGAAATGTTTATTTTAAGATCTCTGTTTGGTGTGAGCCCAATGATGTCAGGTTTTTTTTTCTAACCTTTTCTTGAGACAGGGTCCCTCTAATTTCTGAACTTCTCAGGCTGGCTCAATTTCCAATCCCGTCTCAGCCTCCCAGAGTGCAGGGAGTACAGGGTACCTACACTTTTTTTTTTTAACATTTATTTAGTGTGTGTGTGTGTGTGTGTGTGTGTGGCCAGCTCAGCCCACCAGGGGGCGGGGCTGGCTGGTATGTGGTGCTGGGGGATCGAACCGTGGTCCCTGTGCTTTGCCAAGCTTGTTCCAAGTAGGTGCTTTAGACCACTGAGCCATCTCTCTAGCCCCTACCTACACTTTTAAGTTGTGAAAGATACATAAAGACTCTAGAACCTTTCACCAGGTTGAGTCCCCGGGACGTGGGAAAGTTGCTATTCCGGGGGTGCACTTACAAAACAGACTTCTTGTCAGGGAGCAAGTGGATTACCAAGCCAAGTGGGAGTAAACAGAAACCTTGAGAAGGCATTGCTAGGATCTGTAATTGCCTTAACAATCTTCAAAGGGCCTCCTTTTCTGTTCTGTCTTTGAGCTTGAACTTCATGCCAACAGGAGATTTCTGACTATCTCTGTGCTCAGAGTGGGGCGTGGTTCTAAACAGAGAGTAGACATAGAGAGGGGTGACACTCCAGAACTCCACTGTTCCTTGTTGCCGTAAAATTCCATATTGTGAGGACAAGCATAATGCATTTTGTTTTAAATCAAGCAGAAGCTTCACTGACACTCCATCACTGGAGCGAAGCCACTGGCTCCAGCCTCGGGGAGCTTCCTCTGCAGTGGCAGGTTGCAGCTCTGGGGAGGAAACGAAAAATGCCAAAGCCAAAGATGGTCTGTCCCCGGGTTCTGTTTGGGTTCAGAGTAGGTAACAATGGGGAGGGTAGAGTTGCCTTCATTTCTGCCCTCCCTCTTGTTTTTTCCTCTATAGAACTAATATAGAAAGACTAAAGTTTGGGGTAAGGAAAAGCCTTTTCTAAACCTGTGGACACGTGTACTTAGCTTTGGCGAGCCATTGTTGTAGGCCAGTCCATGCTCTGGGCATGCCTTTTGGAGGTAGGTATACTTACCGTTGATTTTCAGATGTGAATGCTGAGGCACAGAGAGGTCAAGTGACTTACCAAGATCACACAGTAAAGGGTGTTCAAATCTAGCTTGCTGTCAATTTTTTCTCTAGCATTCCTAAAGTTCCCTTTCAAGTACACCCTACTGCTTCTGTTCCTGATCTGAAGCAGGGCTCTGGGTCAGATTGACTTCACTACTCAAACCCGATGTGAAAAGTCATGACTTGTGCTTGGCGGGCTGGGGGTGGGTTTCCAGCGACTCCCTTCGGCTAAGGCAGGGGGCTTCTTTGGGTGTGTCCGTCCTGCGCTGTGGGATATGGCTGTGTGTTCATTTCTCTGCCTTTCCTGTGTGTACAGTGCACTCTCCAGTGCAGTGCCTGTTCCCAAACCAGACGCCATCTCTCTCTCTCTTGTAGGCACGGTGCTGTTGTGCCAGGCAAACCAGGAGGGATCTTCCATGTACACTGCCCCCAGTTCACTTGTATATACTTCCGCAAGTAAGCCCACTGTCCTGGCTCTCTTTTTGTTTTGTGACATAAATCTGAGTCCAGTCACCTTCCCTGCCATGAAGTCCCCCTGTCCCCCATCCCTTGTGCTCTCTGCAAGGTATACTTGACCTTCATCAGCATGTCTGTTTCCCCATTGCCTTGGCATCTGAACCCCTCTGGCCATCCCCATCCACATGCCAGTCCTCACTTCCCAGGTGTCCCAGCCATTTGCATTGTACCTGCCAGGCTTGGGTCCAATGGATGGGACGTGGGTTGGGAAGAGGGGTATGGCTGTTCCGTCAAAGGGTGCCCTCGCCTAGCAAGAAGAGGCTGCATCAGTCCTTGCAAGCATGGCAGCCTCACTGTGGGAAGTGGGGCCAGCTTGTGGTGGGTAACTTATTTTCAGAATTGTTCTGTCCTTTTCTATGTAAAATTCCAATGAGGAGGAGGAGAGAGAAACATGGGTTCCCCCCACCTAACTGGGGGAAAGCAATCTAAATTTGCTTTTGAAAAAGTAAGTGCATTTTAATTATGTGTATATGTAAATACAGCTGTCAAGTGCTAGAGGGAGGAGGCCACAAAGAAGCCTGGAGGACCATTCAGGGTGTTGACATGAAAGAACAAAAAGGTCCCTGCTGGGGATGGTCTGGGTGCAGAGGGCCACACTCCTACCCCGCCCGCCCTCTCCCTGGAGCAGGTTGAAAATGAAAGCAGCACACCTTCTGGCTTCAGAGACAGGTTGATGGGAGTGGGGAGAGAGGAAGTCCCAGGCTCGTGCTCACCAAGGGGACAGAGACAGAGTTAAATCCCCACCACCATGAAACAGTAGGGGGTCTCCGTCCTCAAAGTGTGAGACTGAGACAAACCATAGCTGTCTCAGGATACCAAGAGCATGCCAAGGAGTACAACCTTGGGGTGTGCAGAGTCCTTAGGAAGTGGAGACAGGCTATTGTTCTCCCAACTAGCTTATCTTCAATGGCAATTTTGACATTAATTAAATGGAAGGTGTTTTGTTCTCTGGCCCGAGAAGGCAAACTCTAAGTACTCTGGTGACAAGTGGTTGTTTCTAAGTTTAGGAAAATGGTCCCATATGGGTGTTTGTGCATGTGTGTGTGCACCTGTCTCCTACAGTGATGATGCTACTACGTGTTTGTTTACCCAGCCTTCTTTATTCCTCTCAACACCTGCAACAGGTAGGTCTTACAATGTTTGTTTTACAGATGAAGTAATGGAATAATCCACTCAAGTCACACAGTCACACAGCCTGTTTCTGTTGAACCTCGGGTTGTCTTTCTCAATGTATTTGACTCGAAATCTCACCACCATTCCATTTAGCTGCCTGCCCTTTTTTCTCTGCAAATGTTTTCTGAAGGACAGCTGATGCACAGGGTTGAATCCTGAGTCCTAGAAGATTATTTTACTTGTCCCTAGCACCATTGTCCTATAGAATCATCTAGAAAAAGTCTTCTGTGTCTGTGTCCAGGGAAGTCATGGTAGAACTCAAAGGCACTGACTGACTTTAGTTAATGTCACATTACATAGCCACATGGAGGGAATGGGTCTCATGCAGACAGTACGATGTTGCATGATTGCATGACATACTCATTTTTGTTTTCTTTACAGAAGTGAAGAAAAAGCATTCTTTTGAATGTATATATTTATCCTAAAGCAAATTGGTTAAAGTGTTTTATTTACCAAGCATGGAAATATGTCATAAATGTTCCATAATGAAATAAGTAGAGCATAGAGAGGAAGTGGAACTGTGTACCGTGAGGGTCGGCAGAATCAAGACACAGGCCAATCCTGTTCACACTCTATTTCCCAATGCTCTCAAGCTCTGAGTGCGTTTTTAAAATTTCCTAGCATTTTAAAACCAAAAAGAAAATATTATGCAAAGACATCGATAGCTCAAATATTAATAAACTTTTTGTTCCAAAAATACCTCAATCTCTGATTGAAAGGGTAAATTTTATTATTAAAAACATAAATTTCCAACATTACCCTGCCATGTGTAATTCTACGCTTTTCTCCATGTAAGTATATAATGACCACTGAAACCTCGAGTCCAGCATCTTTCATTTTTAAATTATATCATCAGTCAAGTCACCTGCACACACTTTTCACCTTTTTTTTTCAAAGTTTTATTGATAAACAGATAGCAATGAGACAGTTTCAAATCAAATCGGAAGTACAGTTTCAACAAATAATACACTGCATATATTCTTCTTAGTGGTTAATTGCTGTACAAGATGCGGACTTGTGATCCTATTTACAAACACCATTAGAACAAATCATTCTATTCATTAAGAGAATGCAACTATATATCTATCCCAACCTCTTTGAATACACAGATACAAATGGACATTCATCGGTATACTCCATTTTTTCTAAGTTCCGTTATTGCGCAGTAGACTTTTCACCTTATTTTCACTTATGTTATATGAATACCGAGATTCATTGATTTTTTTACAAAAATATTAAAGCCCTTTTATATAGAAGTTTTAAGAAAATTGCTAATTCCACAATACTATTTTAAAAAGTACTAAATAGTTTCTTGCAATAATGATCTTCAGCTATCACTCCTTTATGCAGTGGCATTCAGGTTAGAAAGCCCAGTAGGGTTCTGTAATGGTGACCACCTCTAGGACCTGTCCTTCATGTAAAGAGCAGCAAGGTACAGGTACATTTTCGCTTTGAGGTTGTGAGGGGCTGCTGCTGCAAGGAAAATTCTCCACCGTACCTAAATTTCCTCATGGAGGCTCCCTTTTTTGAGCCTCATGGTTTTCTAAGCCAGACTATTTGCAGGAGCTAGAACCCTTGCAGGCATCAAATGCCCATTCCTGCACAAAGCCACATCCCACTTCCAACAGTTCACCCAATATAAAAAGGCTCATTTTGCACGTGCACATGTGCATATATTGTAAAATACACAGGGTTACCCTGAATCCCCCTCTAAGTCTGATGTATGTGGGACTGACAACACATACCTTGTCTTTGAATTATTTTGGGTAGCTTCTTATGCTCTAGGAATCTAATCATAGGGGAAAGTGGAGGGCTTTTTTTTCCACTTTCCAGAAAATTTTAAGGGTGCTTTTTTTTGGGGGGGGGGTTTAACTTGAAAGTTTACGTGTTGTGCTTCTGAAAAAAAAAAGTGTGACATTTTCATAAACATGTTCACTAAGTTCCAAGATTACTCATGAATGTTGATTTTTGTCCCTTCTCCCTACAAAAAGTACAAATCTTTAGCTATCCTTGGATGGTTAGAAGTAAATTGTTCTTCCTAGCCAAATAGCTAATCATCTGTAAATAACATCTTTAAATGAAGTAGGGGAGATGGCTTTTTAAGGAACCCTGCTGAATTAGTCTGTAATGAAAATAATTCCTACTAAAGTTCCTGCTTTTTTACATGAAGTCCCTCTTAAGCGAATTTTCCTAATATGGCCTGGGGCACATGAAAGCATTGAGAAACCACTCACAAGAGTCTTCCGTGGAGTCTCCCATTTGACCCCTCTTTGCCTCTTTCTCCCAAGCCTTATGCTGGCTTAAAACCTTAGTTCAAGTCATCATGGGACATGCACATCCTCTTGCATGCCCTAATAAATGAGTGTCATCAAGAATACAACCGGGGGCTGGGGAGATGGCTCAGTACAATAAGCACTTCCCTGGCAAGCACAAGGGCCTGAGTTCAATCCCTCGTTCCGGAAAAAAAAAAAAAAAAAAAAAAATATATAATCAATCTAAATGAAGTTGGAGCACAATCCCAGGAAATCAGGCAAGACCACCTTGTACCAACTGCACAGTGATTATTATTATTATTATTATTATTATTATTATTATTATTGGCAGAACCAGGGATTGAACTGAGGCCCTTGCACTTGCCAGGGAAGTGCTTATTCTACTGAGCCATCTCCCTGGCCCCCCTATTTGTATTATTAAGCAGGCCCTGAGCACCAAACAGTATACTCTTTCCCCAAGGGGATGTAGTGAGTGACAGAACTTACAGCTTATCGGTTGACCACGTCCTTCCTAGGGTTGTGAGTAGTCAGCTCTTCTGACCATTAGCTGAAAGACATTAGTTGAAATATTGCCCACACTGATTGAATATGGCACACACTTACCATTAAAATCAGCTTCAGGCAGAACTCAGAAGGTAAGGCACAGATTACCCCCTTCAAGGTAAAGCATGACTTCCACTCTCACTAATCGGGATATCAAGAAGTGAAGGATCCTTGTGTCTACCAATGGTAAGGTCCACTCTGGCTTGGATTAGTAAAGTGAACTATCACTGATCATTTCTGCATATGATGGAAATGTTTCCAGAAGCAGTTAACTGTTATCTACTCTTTTTTCTTTCAATTTTATGAATAGATTATAAATTAGAAAAGTGACAGGTACTCATGATAACCAGTGAAGCACACAAATAAAGATGCACAATTATAATAAGATAGCAATAATATATACCCTTGAAATAATTCATGTGAACTTCTAGAATCTTTTCACATTTTATTCATAATAACATGGGAGGGACACACCTGCAGCTGGGGAGGGGGACTGCCAGCATTTTGACTGCATGCATATTTGATGCATTCCTGCCATGTGCAGTTTCTCTTAATATTATTGTGACCATCTCCCATGAAGCTTTTAGGATATTTTCACTTTGTTTCATAGAACAGGGAGCCATGCTCTTAGAGTTGCCCCAGCTACTTTTCTTCACACTCTTTGTAAAGACTGTAGGAGGCATCTTCACAAACGCTCCTCCAGAACTGGGTTCCAACATCCTCTTCCACAATTGCACCTTTCTGCTGCCTTTAACTTTGCTAGTCAGATGGATGGAAAATATAATCTGCATTCTTCATTTGCATCTGTCTAGCTGCAGCTTAAAAACTACCCCCTGCTGCCCCACAATGAACTGCCAGTTGAACTTTACCACTTGATAATTTCCACTACTCTACTTTCTGCCTCTCTTCTGAGAAAACTTTGATTTTTGTTTTCATTTTATTACGTATTAG